CGCATATATATATATATATATATGCTTAGATATATGCTGATATATATATATATATATATATATAGATTTGTGCTTATATATATTATATACATACCTATATATTTATATATATTTGCACAGGTGTTTATAAATTAGATATTTAGAAATTTAGTTTAAAAGGATAAATACAGATAATAAACAATGCATGAATATTTGCATGCAGTTAGTATAAAGAGCAAAAAGAAGAAGAGGATTTATAAGAAGAAGAAGAGACAGAAAAATAAACTTGTTGCTGCTGCTGAAGAGCAACAGGAAGCAAAGCCGCAGCTGCAGCAGCAGCAAAAGCAACAGCAACAGCAGCAGCAGCAACAGGAAGTAATACACGAGTTATAATAAGAGAGCAGCGATGGTTTAGTATAGCATCTGTCTGTTTGTTTATGTTTATTAAAAACAAAGAACTGCATATATATGCAGAACAAAAATAGACAAACCCTAAACCCTAAACCCTAAACCCTAATCCCTACAAGTAGGAAAAAGATAAAGAAGATAGACTGTAGCAAAGACCAGCATAGACAACGCATGCATACACGATAAAAAAGAAAATATATATATATACATATATATACATATATATATTTTTATATATATTTATATATTTATATATATATTAAATTATATTTTTAATTATATAATTTCGATAATTCATCTGACACACTCCCAGGTGTAAATACACCTAAATCTGTAAATAATAAACTTATGTATTCCGGCCCTGTGAAGTCCAACGGCTCCCAGCTATCTCCTCCAGCTAAACCCTGAATAAATAATAAATAAATAAATTAATTAAATAAATAGATTAATTAGTTAATTAGTTAATTGGTTAGATAAATTAACAAAAGAATTAATAAACACTAAACCCTAAACCCTTAAGTACATTATTTATTTATGCTATCTCCTCCAGCTAAACCCTGAATAAATAATAAACAAATTAATCAATTAATCAATTAATTAATTAGTTAATTAGTTAATTAGTTAATTAGTTAATTGGTTAGATAAATTAACAAAAGAATTAATAAACACTACACCCTAAACCCTTAAGTACATTATTTATTTATGCTATCCCCTCCAGCTAAACCCTGAATAAATAAATAAATAAATAAATTAATTAATTAATCGATTAACTAAATTAACTCATTATAATTATTTGCGTTTATTAGGGTTTATTACGGTATAGGCTTTATTAGGGTTTTTAAGGGTTTTTAAATTAGGGTTTATTAGGGTTTATGAATTAGGGTTTATTAGGGTTTATTGATCAGGGTTTCAAAACGTTTATGAATTATGGTTTATTAGGGTTTATTGATTAGGGTTTATTAGGGTTTATTGACTAGGGTTTATTAGGGTTTATTGACTAGGGTTTATTAGGGTTTATAAATTAGGGTTAAAGAGTATTGAGTTACTTGTTGAGATTGTTCAGGAGAATTAATTGAGAACGACGAAGCGTTTGGCTGATTTAAATGAACAGAACGCGAAAATTTACAAGCTTCACAAACAACATAGAAAGGGATGCAGCGTTCTGCTGCTACCAGCGCAACAGTTGCTGTACCAGCCTGTATAAACAAATAAAACAAATAAAATAAATTAATAAATAAATAAATATATAAATACATATTTAATTTATTTATTAGCATTTTAATAAATAAAGGTGTAAATAAACAAATATGTATATAAATATGTACATATATATGTATAGATGTATATATATATACATTAATTAATAGTTAAGAAAATAAATAAATATGAAAGTAATTAAATAAATAAATAAATAAATAAATAAATAAATAAAGATATAAACAAATAAACAGATGAGGTTCAAATAAACGTAGAAATAAAAAACAAATAAAACTAAATAAATAGATAAATAAATAAATAAATAAATAAATAAATAAATAAATAAATAAATAAATAAATAAATAAATAAATAATATACAAATAAAAGAATTCCTTCAAAGAAACAAAACAAACAAAAACAAACAAATAAACAAAACAAATAAAACAAATAAACAAAAACACAGAAAGCCAAATATATATATATATATATATATGTATATACATATTTCAACATATATATATATATATATATATTTATATATATAGATATATACATATATATATATATTTATTGATATATACATATATATTGATATATACAAACAAAACAAACAAACGAAAACAAACAAAAGAAAAAAACAAACAAACGAAAACAAACAAACAAAACAAATAAACAACATAAATAAACAAATAAATTAAATAAACAAACAAACAAACAAACAAACAAACAAATAACAAATAAACAAACAAATAAATAAACAAATAAATAAATAAATAAAGTCTAACTCGGTTAATAATCCCGCCGTTCTCAGCAACAGCTTCGGCTCCGACAACAACTAAATTTGCTTTAGGTATTAATGTCGCAGCCAAGCCGACGCTCATTAAAGAGGCGGGGATACCGCAAGAAAGTAAAGAAGAAAGAAGCCGCTCTCTGCATGCACAGCAACAACAATATATATATATTAATTATATATATACTATTTATATATATATATATTTATATAAGAAGGCGCTCTCTGCATGCAAACCAACAATATATATATATATATATATATATTAATTATATCAAACAGGGCGCTCTCTGCATGCAATAATCTTACGCAAACCCTAAACAATCACAAACCCTAAACCCTAAACCCTAAACCCTAAACACTAAACAATCCATTATCAATAATATATAATCAATTATATATAATATATTATTTATTATTAATTATAAATTATACATAATGTATCATCAATAATCATAAGTAAACAATAAATTAATAAACAATAAACCATCGACACTAAACCCTAAACCCTAAACCCTAAATAAACCCTAGTGGATATGTCTTGACAAACCACAGACACAGATTTTTCTTCAAATGCGATGGGGGGAGAACGGCGGGTGTTTTAGTAGTAAAAGGGTTTAGGGTTTAGGGTTTTTCTAGGGTTTAGGGTTTTTCTAGGGTTTAGGGTTAAGTTGCTAGGGTTTAGGGTTTAAGACTCTGCAGGGATTATAGCGGTTTACAGCCCCTCCTTTCAAACAAACTATCACACTTCTTCCGAGGGCTTAGGGTTTACTAGGGTTTAGGGTTAATGAGGGTTTAGGGTTTACGAGGGCTTAGGGTTCATGAGGGTTTAGGGTTTACTAGGGTTTAGGGTTCACGAGGACTTAGGGTTCATGAGGGTTTAGGGTATACGAGGGTTTAGAATTAATGAGGGTTTAGGATAAATGTGGGTTTAGGATTTAGGATAAATGAGGGTTTAGAGTTTAGAATAAATGAGGGTTTAGGGTTTAGGATAAATGAGGGTTTAGGGTTTAGGGTTTTTGAGTGTTTACTCGTCGTTAGCAATAGCAGTCCCTTTCTTGATGGTTTCGTGCTGAGTAATAATAACAATAAACCTTTTTTTATGTTTCGTCCAGGCATTGCACAGCAGCTTCTCCACGCAAGAGCTGCGTCCGTGCGTTAATACAACCATTTGATCCTTCGTAAACATTATCCGACCTATACACCCAACAAACCCTAAACCCTAAACCCTAAACCCTAAACAACCCTAAACAACCCTAAACCACCCTAAATCCTAAACCCTAGCTTACTGGTTTTTGTGAAGGTAATAGGGTTTTTCTCTGTGAGGGGTTAAGGTATTTGAGGGTTTAGGGTTTAGGGTTTGGGAGAGCTCTTTAGGGTTTAGGTTTACGTTTAGGTTTGGGAAAGCGTATTAGGGTTTAGGGTTTAGGGTTTAGGGTTTACCAAGGTCTGCGATGGTTTGTTTGCTTTCAGAGATGCGGGAGGCGAATTTGGCTGATTGAGCGATCAGCAGAGACTTCAACTCCGCCACCGACTGCACAAACCCTAAACCCTAAACCCTAAACCCTAAACCCTAAACCCTAAACCCTAAACCCTAAACCCTCAAACCCTAAACCCTAAACCCTAAACCCTAAACCCTAAACCCTAAACCCTAAACCCTAAACCCTTGCGGGTAGGGTGTCGTGAGGGCTTTAATCATTGCTGTCTATAATTAGGGTTTGTACTTCTACTTCGCATTTGAAGGGTTTTCAAGAAGCAGGGGGTATCTATCTATGGGGTGTAGGGTTTGTGAGGGTTTAGGGTTTACGAGGGTTTAGGGTTTATGAGGGTTTAGGGTTTAGGGTTTACGAGTTGGGGTTTTCTTTCATAATGCTTTACAGCAAAATGCTGATATAAAGAACATGCAGACCGCAGCGGAAGAGTTGTTAATCTCTGCAACAAACAAAACATATTAGGGTTTAGGGTTTAGAAATATAAGGGTTTAGGGTTTAGGGTTTAGAAATATAAGGGTTTAGGGTTTAGGGTTTTGAAAACGACGAACAACAAATACGCAATTGGAGTTAATGATAAAAAGATAAAAATAATAAAAAAAAGTAAAAATAATAATAAGAACAACAACAAAATAAAAAAATAATAAAAAGCGGAAGAACAAAAAGAATACAAACAACAAACCCTAAACCATAAACAACCCTAAACAACCTTAAACCCTAAACCCTAAACCCTTAACTCTAAACAACCCTAAACAACCCTAAACAACCGTAAACCCTAAACCTTAAACAACCCTAAACAACCCTAAACAACCCTAAACCTTAAACCTTAAACCCTAAACCCTAAACCCTAAACCCTAAACCCTAAACCCTCGAGAACGAACCCTAACACAAGTTCTTCTAGCAATATAGTCTAAGACATCTCCTCTTTCAATGTAATCTTCGAGGGCTTCCGTTGCAGCGCGCAGATGCACAAATAACTCCATTACTGTCTCAGCCCCAGACCTAAACCACAAACCACAAACCACAAACCACAAACCCTAAACCCTAAACCACAAACCACAAACCACAAACTATAAACCATAAAGAATAAAGAATAAAGAATAAAGAATAAAGAATAAAGAACCCGAAACAACCC